GGGATTTTGCCTGCAAAAGCATGATTCATCCGTGCATAGCAATCCAGAGCTTTGTGATCAAACGAATTACATATTTGGCAGGAAGTGCGACCACCAGAATTGTGGAATTGACCACGATTACCACCAAAATGATTGCGATTTCCAGAGGTGTTTCTGTAATTGCCATGATTCCCACCAGAATTGTTGAATTGACCACGATTGTTGAAGTTCTTAGAAAAATTACCACGATGATTACGCTGAGAGAAACCTCGATCTCGATTATTGTTGTGAAACTTGGAAGGCGCACTGTAAGATGACTGTTGAGCAGCAAATGCTTGAGGAAAATTATAGAACTGAGATGGTGTAGGAAGAAGAGGAGGTTGAAACTGCGCAGTAAATGCCTGAAAAGGCTCAGAAGCGGAGGAGGCCACACATTTCTTCTTGCGATGCATGAAAACTTCCATTGTTAAGCAACAATCCATGAAGTTCATCCAGTGTTGTGGTAGAAATCCTGAGCATGATAGAGTCAATGAACGACTCATACTCATCAGGTAAGCCATTGAGAGTGACGGCAATCAAATCTGGATCAGAAACAGAAGCTCCAGCAGCCATTAAAGAATCAGCAAGACCTTTGATGCGCTGCAGATAATCGGAGATAGAGAGATCTCCTTTATGAATAGAGTGAAGGCGAGAACGAAGCTGATGAATGTGAGCGGCAGACACGCCACCAAATCGATGCTCAAGGTTTAACCAGAGATCGCGAGACGAGGTGACACCAACCGTAAACGGAACAATATCCTTAGAAAGAGTGGAGTTCAACCAGATCAGGATATTCTGATCTTTTTCATACCACAGCTCGAAGTCAGGATTTGGAACTCCAATGCTGCAACCAAATGCATCAAGAACAAACGGCGGTGGGCAAATTTTCGAGCCATCAACAATGCCGGTGAGTTTGTATCGTCGGAAAATTGGAGCGAATAGAGCTTTCCAGACGAGATAATTGTCACGTTTGAGCTTCGTAGGAACCATACAGCTGATATTCTGAACAGTTATAGAAGAAATTGAAGAAGAGGAAGAATTAGGGTTCATCGTAGCAAAATTGGGGGAAGAAGGTGCAGGAGGAGGAGTAGCAACAACTTCAGGTTGCACAGGAGAAGAAGTCGAAGACGCCATGGCCAAAGATCAAAGATCTGAGAAGCAACGATCGAAGAACAAATCGATCGAAAAAAAAATCGCAAGAAAAAGAGGGATCGAGAGGCGGTTAGGCAGAGAGGCTCTGATACCATATAAGAAATAACTCTTTGTATTTCATTACTTAATGTGTAAGGATTACAACTCAATATATATACAATTCTCTAATTAAGCTTAGTACCTAATTATACTTAATTAGGTCTCTAATACAGAGATTAGTTGCAAAACTGTTACATCTGAAAATGACAGCTGTTAGCTATGACTACTTATCCCTTTACTTTCGACGCCGTAGTTGATGGATGCCAAGGTGTTTTTCATACAGCGTCCCCTGTACTGCTTTCAGTTACTGACCCTCAGGTTCGTCGCCCTTTTACTTCATGATCGCATAGTCCAGAAAAAAGAAATCTGAAAAGTCTAAAGCATTGTATTTAATTACTTTCGGAAAATTGGCTTTCCAGAATTTTGATGTTAAAACTGGAACTATTTTAGGGAGAACTACTTGACCCTGCAGTGAAGGGAACACTTAATGTTCTACAATCATGCGCGAAATTTCCCAGCATCAAGAGAGTGGTTTTAACATCTTCAATTGCTTCAGTAATGATGACTGGAGTCCCTCTGACCTCTGATGTAGTTTTGGATGAAACATGGTATTCGGATCCACTTTTTTGTGAGAAGCACAAGGCATGTACAAATGTTCCCGTATTATATTACCTTAAGTTTTGCATTTCATTCGTTGTTAACTTGTGATATTTCAATGTCAGTAGGGAAAATAATCTAATCTTGTTAGGTTAGCATGAACTGCAAGCTCATGTGAACTTCCTTGTTCCTTTGTTCAGCAATGGTATTTTCTCTCAAAAACTTTAGCCGAGGAGACTGCCTGGAAATTTGCTAAAGGAAATGGGATCGACTTGGTGTCCTTGAATCCAGGGCATACGATTGATCCACTCTTACAACCAACACTTAATTTCTCCATCGAGCTGCTTCAGAACATCATGAGTGGTATATTTCAGTAACTCGATTACTTCTTGGGTTAATAGCAAGCAGAACATCATCGATCGGTCCCTTCGTGTTTAAACAGTTGTCCTTGACTTGTGATGCAAGCAATTGATTGTGTTTTGTTTCTCCTTCTTGCTCAGGTACCCAAACACCTACAATTAATCCATTCGTAGTTGTTAATTCATTCGTTGATGTTAGAGATGTTGCCTCTGCTCATATTCAAGCTTTCGAAATTCCTTCAGCTAGTGGGAGATATTGTTTAGTTGGCCAAGTTGCTGACGACCTTGATACTCTAAAGATTCTACGGCAACTTTACCCGACTTTGACCACCCTTGCTGAAGTTGTCAATCCTTCCGACTCAAAGCATCAAGTGTCCAAGGAGAAAGCAAGAGGTTTGGGAATCACTTTCCTTCCTCTGGAAACAAGTCTTGGGGACACTATTGAAAGCCTCAAGGAGAAGGGCTTCCTCAAGATTTGAATGCCTCAATCTGCCCGCTGCATGTTAATCTGGTGTAATCTGTAAGGTTTCAAAATCACACTAAATAAATGGTGAAAATATTAGTATTTGGGTTTATTTATTGTTTGAATATTTTTATGTAACTGCTTATTTATCTATTCCCTGAGCTGAGCACCAGATCGAGCAGTTCGGGATCTTTCTGCTTTTAACTACTTCCTGATCTTTTCTCTTCTTTCTACCTCACTAAAGGTTTTCTCATCCTTCTCGTCCTTTCATTTTATTTTGTTTTCAATCAGCTACTAGACCACCTATTCCAATGGTTTCTTAAGGGTTTCTTGGGCAATCTCTTTAGTAATCTCGTTCTTTAGTGTGTTCTAGAATTAAGGATTTCTTCCAAAAATTGTTCGCGTTAGATGACGCTGATTGCTTTAGACGAGTGAACGGCAAATACTGTACGGAACCAACCAGTTCTTCGTTTTCGTGGTTTGTGCTCTGTTTGACTTCTGTAAAAAAACGATTATGACCGAGGAACGAACGTGTCTCGGTCGTAAGTTCTCCGGGCCTTGTGACATGATGGGTGAATTTGAATGTTCTTGTGATGGGCGAGAAATTGGTAGGGTCGAGATACTCACATGTGATGGTTATGATGTATGTGTAATGGATTTGGTTATCAGTGGTGTGATACATGATGTGAGTGTTGTGCGGAAGCGTCAAATATGAAACCAATAAGCTATAACGGCAAAATATGATAAGATAAATAATCCAAATGACACATGGATTTATACTGGTTAGGCGTAAGCCTACGTCCAGTTCCAAGATGGCGAGGAAATTCCACTAATATCAAAAGGAGATTACAAATAGAGTTTTAACTCTCAAACCCAAATCCCACATACACCCAATAGTTCTCACTCGTACAAAGAACAAATGGAGAAGAAGAAACACATATCAAATTCTTCTCTCCCAAAAGCCACAAAATGTAGCACAATATCTTAGAATGAATGATGGCACAAATGGAGGATAGAAAACAGCAACCCACCTCTTCTTCTCTCTAATCTGCCGTTCCCAACCCCCAAAACCAAAGGCATAACCAAATGCCTTAATATAAACAAAAGAAACAAACATCATAATTGCCACTCATGTGGCCACATCATAAAGGAAAACCTCCTAATGATGTTCCCACATCATTATATCCTTCATTCTTTTAGTTTGTTTAATAGCCGAAAGGTGATTTGGCTTGTTGTCCACTTGGCCACTAATTTGGCCATTATTCAACAATCTTCACCTTGGCCAAATTCCGAAAACAACACAGAATCGACTCAACAATCATCATAGCGCCCGAAGTACGAATTAGAGACAACTGAAGTGAAATCAAATTCCGCAAGCTCTCGGTACTCATAATGTTCCGGACTTGTGATGCAAGCAATTGACTGTGTTTTGTTTCTCCTTCACCCTCATATTCAAGCTTTTGAAATTGCTTCAGCTAGTGGGAGATATTATTTAGTTGGCCAAGTTGCTGGCTATCTTGATACTCTAAAGATTTTACGGCTACTTTACCCGACGTTGACCCTTAATGAAGTTGTCAATCCCTCCGACTCAAAGTATCAAGTGTCCAAGGAGAAAGCAAAAGGTTTGGGAATCACTTTCCTTCCTCTGGAAACAAGTCTGAGGGACACTATTGAAAGCCTCAAGGAGAAGGGCTTCCTCAAGATTTAAACGCCTCAGTCTTCCTGCCGCATGTTAATCATGTGTAAAAATCACACTAAATAAAAAGTTCAATCTTTATAGAAGGATTGAACACATATGCAACCTCTAGTGATGATTTCAAGTATGAACAATAAAATGTAATGTAATCTTTGGTCTTGGCAGTGCTTTAAACTCAATAATTTCATTATGAATAGTATGTTAACCCAATAAATTGGTGTCTTGAAGAGATGTCTCAACTCTGACTCTCCCACTCCAAATGTCGCTTTTCTTTTTGTTAATAGGTCTCCAAATATTTTGCTCCTGTTTAATCTTTTTTGCTTATAACAAAGGCACTTTGACAAGAACTCAAACCTCATTTGCTCGAAACTATTTGGTGAACGTCGCCAACGTAATATTTGTAGAAATTTCTCCCTCTTGTTCTTTGGACTGCACCTTAAGTGTTAGATGAAAGACCGATTCAAAATTTTCTTCTCTTTTCTCCCCTTGAAATTTACATGGACTTGTTTTCAATATATAAAGAAAGACATCAAATATAGTCAAACATTCATAGCACACAATGAATTGCCATAAAGTAATTATTCAGAGCTGAAGAATACTGAAGTTGCCTTATTTGACCTTAATGTCCAGATGACTTTTCACCACAAAAAAACAAAAACTGAACCAAACCAAAGCTTATGAACTCTATTTTGAGAGAGAGAGAGAGAGAGAGAGATGAGTACTGGCAAAACAAAGACTGTGTGTGTGACAGGAGCATCTGGTTACATAGCATCATGGCTCGTGAAGCTCTTACTACAGAAGGGTTATACTGTTAAAGGCACTGTTCGTGACCCAAGTTAGTATTTCCAAACTTTGCTCATATCATATAATATAAAACTGCTATCCTATCTACATTAGCACTCGAAAATAGTCATCATGCACACCTGGCTCTTATTCTAAGCATTAGGGGAAGTGCAGGGCGACTATTTGGAGTGCAAATAACAGCTCCTGTGTATCCATCCTTTTTGGGGTGCTATGCTTGGCCTAGCCAAATTACCAATTTGAACCTCCTCAATAATTCTATTTTTGCAAAACAAAGATGATCCAAAGAAAACAGAACACTTACTCTCGCTAGATGGAGCAAAAGAAAGGCTTCATTTGTTGAAAGCGGATTTGTTAGAAGAAGGGGCTTTCGATGATGTAGTCGATGGATGTGTAGGTGTTTTTCATACAGCATCGCCTGCACAATTCTCAGCCACTGATCCACAGGTTTATCCCTTCATACTTCAAATATTCTATCATGTCACGTGCACGCGTAGAAAACCAACAGTTTCAAGACAAATGATGTAGAAACCGAAATGATATTTCTCTCTGTATTTCAGGCAGAAATAGTTGAGCCTGCAGTGAAAGGAACACTCAATGTTCTTAAATCGTGCGCGAAATTCCCCACTGTCAAGAGAGTAGTTTTAACATCATCTATGGCTTCAGTAACGGGGACTGGAACCCCTCTGACATCTGATGTGGTTTTGGATGAAACATGTTACTCAGATCCACTTCTTTGTGAGAAGAACAAGGTATGAATGTTCCCATACTACTGCAAAATATTGGATAAAAGAGGTAAGCTTAACAGTAACACAAGGTAAAAGTAGTACATGATGATGAACTACAAACTCATATGAACATTCTTCATTTGTTCAGGAATGGTATCCTCTCTCAAAAACTTTAGCTGAGGAGGCTGCCTGGAAATTTGCTGAAGTAAATGGGATTGACTTGGTGTCGATGAATCCAGGGCTTGCGATTGGTCCACTCTTACAGCCAACTCTTAATCTTTCTGTCGAGATATTTCGTAATCTCATAAGCGGTACGTTTCACCCCTTGTGTTTAAATACTATTTCTTGGGATGCAAGCAGTTGATTTTGTTTCTGTTTCGTGGTCAGGGATCCAAACATCGAATAAAAATTACAGATTCGTTGATGTTAGAGACGTTGCCTCTGCTCATATTCAAGCATTTGAAGTTCCTTCAGCTAGTGGCAGATATTGTTTAGTTGGCCATGTTGCTGACAGTCCGGACACACTCAAGATTTTACAACAATTTTACTCCACTTTGTGCCTTCCTGAGTTTGGCAATCCTTCAAACTCGAAGTATCAAGTGTCCATGGAGAAAGCAAAAGGTTTGGGAATCACTTTCCTTCCTCTGGAAACAAGTCTTAGGGACTCGGTTGAAAGCCTCAAGGAGAAGGGTTTCCTCAAGATTTGAATTGTGCAACTTATAAACACCTGTGAATTTGATGCACGAGTCGGTTTAATTTTGGCAAATAAAGTCTGTCTTCTGCTGAAGTACCCCAAGAGATGCTGAAGATTATATTATTCCTGTTAAGAATGTTGAAAGTAATCGCAAAAGTTTGGCTCTTGGGCTTGAAATTTTTTTATGTAGATTTTAGTTTGGGCTAGGATTTTTTTAGCTTGGGCTCAGTATTTATATAAATCAAGGGCTAAAGTATTAGATTTAAAATTAATAAAGACGGTCTAGGATGGTTTTTACGATTTTTGAGACTCAGAAATTGGCATTGGAATCAAAACCATTTAAAACTAGTTCAGTTCGGTTCTAGTCCAAGTTTGAATGGTTTTAGCCAACCTGATTTTTTACAATTTTTTCTTCATCTTCCGTTTGGTTTTACAGTTTCTCGATTTTTATACCCACTCCTAAAATTGACCCCAAAAAATCAAAATCCTTCCCTTGTAGGTCTGTACCTTTTAAAATATCTGTCACTATTGGGTCCCGATATTTATAATAACAAAAAATATTCCTCAGTTGACCGTAATCATCACCAATTTTTTATATAAACAAAACACCAATTATACACAAAATGAGACTCAATGGTAGGCGTAATGTAAATTGTTAGAAAAATGTTAGAGATATTACATTTTTATATTATAAGCGTATTATTTAATGTGATAAGTGACGTGTATATACCATATCAATTAATGAACTTTTTTTATTAAATGTTAATTGTTTACATCACTTACTACATAAAATAATACACTAATATAATATAAATATATAACCTCCTTAACATCACTCAAATAATAAAGCCAAAACGGAATAAAAAAGTTTAACAAACTTGCGTGTTCCACGTCGCTCCATAAATATATTTCAAATGCATACCATTAAATCACACAACATGTGAATATCAGAGTGATTGGGAGATGGTTGTCACCTCTCACCTTTGCACTAACTTTTGTATTTAAATATTCTCACTTATTCTCACATTAGGTGATTATTTATATAAATCGTCACCTAACTCAATAAAATTATAGGAGTGCATGGAAATAAAAAAAAACTCGGTTTTTAATCCATCGCAATAATAGCAATGACGTGTCGATTCGCAGTGCTTGAGCAGATGAAATAAGCAAATGATTTCTTAATCAAAGTTTATGAAAGAGGATCCTCTCCGGATCTTTATGGGAATTTTAGGAATCTTCACATCATAACTGTTTATTATAAATTAATTTTCGTCAGGTATTATTTATATTTAATTTTAAATAATAAAAAATTAAATGATTTTTTACCACACGATGCATGATAAATAGCTAAGATGTGAGGATCCCTAGGATCCCCACAATTTGGATTGGGATCCAAATCCAAAGTTTAATACATAAACAATGTTCCAACCGGATTAAATAATAATTAGTGTTTTCCTTGCATAATGTTTTTTTATTTGGTCAATGTTCATAGTAAACAATGGCTGCCCATTACACTGAAGTTTCTCAGCCAAACTTTCCACCTTAAGAAACCACCAACCCTACCATTGCATAACTGATAACTTAAGTTGTAAGAGAGAGACACAGAGAGAAAATGGATGGAGGAACGAAGGTTGTGTGTGTAACAGGAGCCTCCGGCTTCATAGCGTCGTGGCTCGTGAAGCTCTTACTACAAAGAGGTTATACTGTCAGAGCTACCGTTCGTGACCCAAGTAAGTATTACTACTAGTTCTTTTCATACTAGATGGGATCTGCCCCCATTTTATTTCAAAACGTCTCACTGCAATTTAGGGAGAACTACCACTTATGACCAGTTTTATAACAGTTTTGTTTTTAGTTTTTAAATTTTGCCTGTGTGAGACATGAGAAAAGTATAAAGCACAATGATGGGAAAATAAAGTATTGAGATAGAGGAGAAGATATAAATAAGAATGAATGAAAACAAAATCTTCGTGCGACAATTGTATTTGATACACAATAGCTAATATTTTGGACTTGAAAATTCAATTTAACCCTCAGCTAGACTAGTCAATGTAAGTCCCATCTCGTGCGGTTGTTGTAATCCAAGTTCAACTCACTAGTTCTGTTTGTCTAATGCCACAGATGATCCAAATAAAACAGAACACTTACTCTCACTAGATGGAGCAAAAGAACGGCTCCATTTGTTCAAAGCAGATTTACTAGAAGAAGGATCTTTCGACGCTGTAGTTGATGGATGTGTAGGTGTTTTTCATACAGCATCGCCTGCACAAATTTCAGCCATTGACCCACAGGTTTGTATCTTTCACTTCACGGTTCAAATATTCTATCATGTCCCATGTGCAAACAAAGAAAACCAACATAGTTTCAAGACAAATGACATAGAAACCGAAATGATATTTCTCGCCATATTTCAGGCGGAAATAGTTGGGCCTGCAGTGAAAGGGACACTCAATGTTCTTAAATCGTGCGCGAATTCCCCACTGTCAAGAGAGTGGTATTAACATCATCTATTGCTTCAGTAATGGGGACAGGAACTCCTCTGACATCTGATGTGGTTTTGGATGAAACATGGTACTCGGATCAACTCTTTTTCGAGAAGCACAAGGTATGAATGTTCCCATACTATTGAAAAATATTGGACATAGCGGTAAACTTAACACAAGAAAAAACAGTACGTGATGATGAACTACAAACTTATATGAACTTCCTTCTTCATTTGTTCAGCAATGGTATCCACTCTCAAAAACTTTAGCTGAGGAGGCTGCCTGGAAATTTGCTGAAGGAAATGGGATTGATTTGGTGTCGATGAATCCAGGGATGGTGATTGGTCCACTCTTCCAGCCAACTCTTAATCTCTCCGTCAAGTTTCTTCTGAATTTCATTAGTGGTACAACCCCCTTTATGTTTAAACACTATTCCTTGTGATGCAAGTTGATTGTGCTTAATTTGTTTCTCTTTTGTGCTCAGGTGTCCAAACTCCAGTTGTAAACTACGCATTCGTGGACGTTCGAGATGTTGCCTCTGCTCATATTAAAGCATTTGAAGTTCCTTCTGCTAGTGGCAGATATTGTTTAGTTGGCCAAGTAGCTGACGGCCCCGATACTCTACAGATTTTACGACAACTTTACCCCACTTTGTGCCTTCCTGAGTTTGGCAATCCTTCAGACTCAAAGTATCAAGTGTCCAAGGAGAAAGTAAAAGGTTTGGGGATCACTTTCCTTCCTCTGGAAACAAGTCTAAGAGACACGGTTGAAAGCCTCAAGGAGAAGGGTATTCTCAAGATTTGAATTGTGCAACTTATAGACATGCACTTGTTAATTTGATTGACGAATCGGTTTAATTTTGACAAATAAAGTTTGTCTTCTACTAAAATACTCCAAACAGATGTTGAAGATTATGTTGTTCCTGTTAAGACTTTTGAAAGTAATCTGCAAAAGTCAGAAGTTGCCTTCAAATTAATCTCTATATATGGCTGGTATTTCCTGCATTTTAATCATGTGTAATTTTGGCAAGTTACAGATCTTTATACATGTCAGGCTATGAATAATATAAAGTTGTGAACACATTATTAATTCCAGTGCTGAGTACTTTACTGCCCTCAAAACCAATGAGACCTTGAATATATGACAACAATTCATGTACAGTGTCCAGAATAGTAAAGTCCAGCAACATACAGGAGGGTTACACTGGCTAAGGCAATCTTGTCAGACTAGATCAACGTCTCAACTTTACATAAGAGAACAGACCAAACCGTTTGATAAATAACCAATGCAGACAAATAAATAGAGAATCAAAGACAAAAAAAAAATCATCTAAATAACAGGGAAACATTTGAGTTTTAAGCCTTAAACCTATTGCTTAAGTTTAAAAGAGCCACTGTGAAAAATGACATCTTTAAAGGAGGATGCTCGTTATCAAAATTCTCAAACTCCAAATTCCATTAGATTCCGTTACATAGAAAGCAACACATGCCTACTGGAATACGGTCTGCTGGGATTAGTACACAGATCACATCATGTTCCGGCTGCAGTTCAAACAATAGGAATTGAGAGACCCTAGATGCTCGCTGGTGAGGGATTCGAGAGGCCCTCTCCTCAAGAACTTCAAAAAACACTAATAAAACAACAAAGTTGTACTCATACAAAACTTCTTTTGTGGTAGATGACATCACGTTAATTACATTAGACACACAAGCTGAGTCCTCTAATTAATTGACTCAAAATATGACTACATTAATAATCGAAAGCCTCCTTTACATTTGGCAATACAAACTACAGCCACTCTCTGATCATTTTATGCACATAAATATTGTTACATTATACACATGAACTACTAAATCCAGAAAGATTGGGTGTCTAGTTTGCTTGACCTCCAAGTCCACTAGCTCCCGTTCCTCCTCTTGATGTAGACGATGAGGAAGAGACAATGTTCTAGTGGTTAACACATACACCAAAATACAGAATTTAAAAGTAATTATACAGAATAGACAAAAAGAAAACTTGTAAAATAAGAGTAATGATATGTAAACAAAATTTGCAAACTAAATGATATGACACCAATAAGAAATAAACACGTTAATCAACACTTAATAATCTAGTCATCAACTTCTATGATAATTTGTCTACAAAATTCAATCCACAATTTAGTCTCTCTATCATTACCCGTAAAATAATTATGAAGGAGAGATATTAGTCATACCATAGATTGGGTTATGACATATTCATGTAATCTGGTAAATCATCGGTTCGGTTGAACATGAACTTTGTCATTCTTGGTATGCATATTCCAAGATATACAGCTCGAAATGATATACATTTGTAGGACTAAAGAAGCTTAACAACACCAAAAGCTAATTTTTTATGAAAATTATTCTCTTGTTCTAAACCTTTTTAAATAACTCATTAGTTGCTATGAAATCACGAATTTCTAATGTTTTCTCAAGAAGAGCATTTGGATTTATTTACAGTGAAATGTTGTAAAATTATGGAAACATATATAACATCGTATCCAGTATTAAGATATTATCCATGCTCACATCTATAATTTGATAAAACTAGCCAGATTCGAACTTATCATGTTGAAAAACTAAGATTTCATGCTATACGAAAAACCATATGGTTCACCAACCAATGTAATTTTTAATATCTTGATCAGGATTACTGGAAAACCGCTAGATGTTGA